CCCAGTCAAAATCCCAGGAGATTTTTGTTTGGAAGTTAGCAAGCTGTTCCTAAAATTTACTTTAAAATGAAAAGAAGCCAAATAGCCAAAACAAATTAGAAAAAGAACAAAATTGGTGTACTTGGAGTACAAGACCTCAAGACTTACACAGCACCATAATCAAGACTGAAGCCATCCATGAAGAATGTGCAAATGAAGCTAATTTATCATAAATGCAGTTTAGTTTATCCTTCCTTCTAGGAGTTAGGGATTTTGCTAGAAAGAGGAAGTAACAGCAAACATCAACATGGGAGAGTCAAACTAAGTCTCAATGTGATCATATGATCAGGTGAAATCTGCAGGATAAAGGTTATATTCTGGGCTGAATTACACACCCAGTCAAAATCCCAGGAGATTTTTGTTTGGAAGTTAGCAAGCTGTTCCTAAAATTTACTTTAAAATGAAAAGAAGCCAAATAGCCAAAACAAATTAGAAAAAGAACAAAATTGGTGTACTTGGAGTACAAGACCTCAAGACTTACACAGCACCATAATCAAGACTGAAGCCATCCATGAAGAATGTGCAAATGAAGCTAATTTATCATAAATGCAGTTTAGTTTATCCTTCCTTCTAGGAGTTAGGGATTTTGCTAGAAAGAGGAAGTAACAGCAAACATCAACATGGGAGAGTCAAACTAAGTCTCAATGTGATCATATGATCAGGTGAAATCTGCAGGATAAAGGTTATATTCTGGGCTGAATTACACAAATAGCTAAGATTTAGAGTGGTGACTGGATCCTCCCTTTCTGAATCAAATGAGAGAATCCTTTTACACATGCACACAAGCCACCCCCAATTTATTCAGTAAATAAATATTGAGCACCTACTATATATCCAACACTATTCCACCCAGTGAGGATACAAGGGTAAATAAAATATACATAATTTGTTTTCTAAATTAAACTTCTTATTTTGAGATAATTACAGATTCAGATGCATTGGTAAGAAATAACACAGAGGGCTCTCCCTGATCTTTATACAATTTTCCTCAATAGTAACATCCTGGAAAACTCTAGTAGGTATCACAACAGGGTAATGATATGGATACCATCCAGTCATTTCATCCCGAGCAGAGTCACTCATACCCTGCTTATGTTCAGTTCTACACTGCAGTTTTGTCACTTGTGTAGGCTTGTGTATCCGCCACCAGTCAAGAGACAGAAGAGCCCCGTCACCACAGAATCTCTCCTGTCACTCGTTCATAATCAAATCCACCCTCTCCCTCCAGCCTTTGCCCAGTCTCTGAGTCTAGGCAACCACTACTCTGTCCCGTATTTCTACCATTTTGCCATTTCAAGGATGTCATACACGTGGAATAACACAGTCAGTACACTTTTGGGAATGCCTCCTTCCACTTGGCAAATTCTCTGGAGATTCAGCCAAGCTGTAGCCTGGGTCAACACCTCGCCCCTTTTGTGGCCGAGCTGTACGCCAAGCTCTGGATGGACCGCAGTCTGTGTAAAGGACATCTCCTTGTTTTCAGTTTGGGGCTACTAGGAATAAACAGGTTATGAGCCTTCATAGGCAGGTTTTGCGTGAACGTAATTTCCATCTCTCCGGAATAAATATCCAATGGCTGGGTCACAGGTACTGACATATTTATAAGAAACTGCCAAACTGTTTTCCAGATTGAATATAGATTTTTACAGTCCCAGGATGTATGAGAGATCTAGTTGCTTTGCTTTCCTTGACAGCATTTGGTACCGTCATTATTTTTATCTTAGCCATTGTTACAGGTGTGCAGTGACAGGTACTGTGATTATAATTTGCATTTCCCTAATGGATAATAATCAACATCTTTTCATGGGTTGCCATCTCATTATGTAATTGTAAAGCACAAAAGACTCTTTAAGGCTTAAGATCAATAAACCCTTTCATGTTACACATGGGGAAACTGAGGCCCACATTAGTTAAGTGATTTACCTGAGATTACTGCTGCCTGATATCGGGCAAGAAATAAAATCATGGTTTCCTGAATCTGAAGCTAGAATATCTCATATCTCCTCTATCTCATTTCATTTTCCATCTCTTTTATTCTGTAGCCTGCACAGATCCTTCTCCCCAAAAGCTCTTCGATCTAATTTATTATATTTTAAAATTTCATTTTCCTGCAGGACTCTGCATTGAGCACTTTAAAAACTATACATGTATTAATTTTCTATTGAGTGCATTATTATGACTTGGCCCCACAGTTCCCAAATATATTCAAGTTTTCTACTCTCTTCCTTTGAATATAGAGAGAACTGTCTTGTATTACGATTTCATGCTTCAAGTTCTGAACTAAGCCTGA